ATAATTAAGGTTTTATTGGTGTATTATTGTATTAAATATTATTTAAATTTCAGACTTTGTTCGAAAATGGATTGAATGGTATTTTAGCTGATGATATGGGTCTTGGTAAAACTATTCAAACAATAGCATTCTATTGTTTTCTTATTGAAATGAATATTAAAGGTCCTTTTCTTGTTATTGCTCCTCTTTCTACTATACCTAATTGGTTGTCGGAATTCACTAAATTTTCCCCTGAGGTGAATCTATAAATTTTCAAGTTAATTATTATACAGATTGTTTAAAAGTAATAAAACAGGTCAATTATTACAAACAATAAGTATAATTGAAATCTATTGCTTTACATACTGTAAATTCTATATATTATATTTTATTTTATTTACATAGCTACCTTCTTTACTTTACCATGGTTCAGAAACTGAAAGAATTGCTGCTCGATCTAAGTTTAAAAAAACTCACAGAGTAAATGATATGAATTGTTATCCTATAATTATAACTACATATGAGGTAATGCGTGTAGATATAAAATTTTTGTCAACAATTGATTGGAAATACATAACTGTAGATGAAGGACACAAACTTAAAAATTTCAACGCACTAACATCTAAGTAAATTTTATAAATTATTATTGAAATATATATATATTTTTAACTGATAATTATTTTTTAGAGCTATGAGAGAATTTAAGTGTGCAAATAAACTTATTCTCACTGGAACACCAATTCAAAATGATATGACAGAACTTTGGTCTTTACTCAATTTGTTAATGCCCAAATTATTTGATAAGTTAGAAGATTTTAATTCATGGTTTGTAGTTGATGATTTCTTTGACGATAATATTAAAATTGCAAGTATGGCAAAAAAAAATGAAATTTTGGATATTATTCAAAAGGTTTGTTTTATTTTTTAATATTGGGTTTGTATGATATTAATTTAAGACAAAATATTTTGTAGGTTATTAAGCCTTTCATTTTAAGACGTGAAAAAAAAGAAACTGATTTAAAACTTCCTCCTAAAAAAGAAGTTGTTATTTATGCTCCAGTTACTGAAAGACAGCAGGAATTATATAAAGCAACATTAAATAAACACATGGAAGTACTACTAAAACAGCAAAAAGTAAAAAAATTAAATAAATTTTGAATATTTTATTAATTATATTATAAGAGTAGATCACGTGTAGCTTATAAAATTTAAAACTACAAATATTTAATTAAAAAGCCACAAAAATTAATAAAAAAATTGTGGATACTTATTTTAGGAACAATGTTACTATCATAAACACATAATCCCATAAGTTTATAATCCAATAACTATTTTTTTATGTTAAATATAATTAAAAAAAAA